AATGCGCGTGTCAAAACCGCTGTGTTTTACGAGACGTTTGCTTTTTGTATCAGCCAACGGTTGTTTGGTTGGAAAACGTGTCAGTTGCGTTATGTGCCATTGTTATCGGAACGCAGTGAATACATACGAGTATGGCTATCTCGGAAGCATCTCTTTATTTGTATCATAAAACTGTCCACACACATCAACCCTGCGGTTCATCCTCCATCTCTTCCTCTATCTTTGACGATTAGTCGTATAGCCGACAGTCGTAGGTGATTTATTACGCCTCCATTTTATTATCATTGACCAAAGAGAACTATATTTCTTTCGTCAATATCGCTTGCGTATTACGTAGGATATTTTATATGTATCCAGAACTTCCTTCAGAGGCGTTGCGAGCCTGATATCGGAGACTGCATTTGAACGTCGAGCTTCGCGATTTGTCGATCGGAGCGAAAAATGTGCACGGCAGGAGCGGATTGACGGGAACGCGCGGACGAACGTCGAAGACTCCGGGCGAGAAACTCGGACGTGGCGTGAGGAATCCGCGGAATCGCATCATTGTCGCGCGCTCGCGAACACGAAGGAGAGAAGCCGCGAGGAATGATGAAACCGCTTGACGCAATACACCCTTCGGTCGCGCATAAACCGTTCCAGGTGTTCGCGTGGGAGAGGCAAATTGCGCCCGCGCTTATTGACAATAATTTATCTCCGCATCCCTCTCGCGTCGCGCTTGACGACCGATAAATTATCGTTCAATTTCTTTCGTGAGTACCACGTCGCGGTTGATTCCGACGCGGCACTCCACGAAGCGTTTCGCGATTCGATCCGAGTCAACCGAACTGGCTCCTAATGGGCTCTTGATCGGTCATTCCGACCGAATTGAAATTTCGATGCCACTTTTTGACCTCGATATTCCATTTAACGTCTACTCTGATACACTCTGGAGCCTACATTAAACTCTTTCGGTTCTATTTAACTCACCAACTTTATCGGTTCTCTTCAGGACCTACAAGTGGCATTTTGTGCGTTCTCTGCCGTTCAGAGGTGCCAAACTAAATGAGACTGTAGTTTCCACGTGTTTTAGACCATACACCGATCTCTCAGAATATACAGATGTTAGAAAGTTCAGATCGAAAGTAGGGATAAAATGTTGACTCGGCAAGTAACTTACTTGGAACGTCCTGAAATTATTTCATTGAATTCCAGGCAAGCCCCAACGGGTGTTTCTCTTAAGGCTAATTCTTCAATAATACTTTGAACTTACATTTAAATTTTGCTCTTACAGTGCTTGACATGATAAAGCTGAGTTTAAACCTGAATGTACTACTATTGAAAAATTGGCTCTTATTCGTTACTCTTAACCCGCGTTGAACGACTCGTCTCACTGAACATTTGGTGACATCAATCGCACTCGACAAGACACATAGATGTACCGTTTTCGCGCGAGCTGTTCTCGTAATAGCGATATTATTATAGCAAATATTTGCCTTCGTTTGCGCGTTCTTTTTCTCCCCGCTCAGCTCGACAGCATCTCGATCGTGGAAGTCCCGAGCGTCTCTCTTGTGGCGTGGCCGCTACGGCGGAGTAAACGTGGCGTGGCTGCGAGCGCGAGACAGTAACGGTACCGTCAGTAATTTATTCCCGCTCGATGCTGGAAAGCCAGCGTGTACGCTAAGCGAGATGCGCCTCGCGCTCGCCTCGTAGTCGCCGCTGACGCCGTCGATGATGCCCTGCCCGGCCTGGCCGCGTGCGCGTCTACTTTCTCCAAGGCCTCCTGTCGATCGGTCGTTCCAGCTTGCACGCCGTAGGCGCGTCCTCTACGTGCCTCGCATGAAACGCGCACCCCTCGCTCGCCGTGGCGGAATAATGACAATATACGCGATAACGTTTAATGGCCGCGGCCGCGAGATAAATCCACGGCGGTCTGGCTGACGCCGATGGTCTCTCGACGCCTCTGCCGGCGGTTTGGCGGTTTGCAGCCGCGGAATCGCGTGCATATTCATGCGAGTCCCTCGACACCGTCGTCATCGTCGTCGTCGTCGTTCGTGTTTACGGTACAGACGCGGTCGCGCGAGTCACTGGAAAATCGGATTTACGAGCTGCGCTTTTCCCGCGCTTGCACTCGAGGATAATATCAAGTTCCGATGGTGCAATCGACTCAGAAAACGACCGGGTGATTTATGAGCGCGGACGAACGTTCTCAAAAGATAAACACGAAAGACAGGTACGATGGCAATGCAGCGGCGACGCGCTCGAAGGTGTTCCACTAACCCGTCGCCGATGAACCGCGAGTTGTATCGCGACCGTGGTTTCTGCCGGCTCCATTGAAACGTATTAATTCAATGATAGATCTCTCTTCTCGCTGGAAAGTCGCTTGTCCTTGCACTCCCCGTTCTAATCCCCGCGTCGAAATCCTTGATCGCGTGGGCGTGAGGAGGGAGCAAGGGAGGGTAAGCCGTTGGCGGTTTCCCGACGAGTCGTCGAATCGAGCGGGAACACGCTCTTTTTTCTCTGTCTCTTTCTCTCATTCTCTTGAGGGAGAGCCGTGAGGCAGGTCGGACCGTCGCGAATTCAACGAGTTTCTTGCGTTTCGTAAAGCCAACAACGAGTTCGAGCCACCGAGTGCCACCTAAACAAAGGCCCGGTAGATCGTGGCGTGTTGCGTTATGGGTTTATATCTCGGGACCACGGTGGTGTCGGCGATGGCGATGGTGTGTTGGTGTTGGCGGCGGCGGTGGTGGTACGTACGGAACGTACGAGAAGCACGTATATAGGCGAGAGCTTTAGAGATTGTAGGCTTGGTGTTAGGGAGCCCAAGGCCAACACCTGCATCATACCCCACCATCGATACTCCAACACCGACGCAGCGAGCGTACGCGCGTTGCTCCGCGGACAGGGGGGAAGTGTACCAATACCAGTTCGTTCTCTTAACTACCATTAAATATACCGACACTTTGTCCTTCTCCTTGTCTCTCTCCCTTTCTTTTTGTCTCTCCGTCTGCTCGCTCCGTCGAGGGCCACGCCGATAGCACGGCGATGCGGACAATTTATCGTTTCATTCCGGCGAGTCTCAGACGGCAAGTCGGGAAAATGGCAAGACGTGCGTCGCGATAACGAGATGACCGAACGATACATTTGCGGATGGGCGTTGGGATTGCGCCGTTACGCACGAAACGCGCACGATATTTAGACCACGCTTATTAAAACGGTGACCGCACCAACTGTCGCCGCCGTCGCGGAGGATTGCATTCTTCCTTACGCGATAGTTCCAGGAAGCCGGGTACAACCGCGTAAGGAAGCGGATTACCTCGGGAAATAACTGTAATGTAATTTCGCTCCGTTAATCGCTCATCGCGCGGAGATCTTTTGATTCCTTCGCAAAACGCGGAGACTGCAGCGAGAGCGCGCGTGTATGTGTTGGTGTTGTAATGGAGCTCGAGGGCAGAGCGATGTTACGCTGTTCTTGTTCAGTACAACAAAAACGAAGGCAGAAATGAGTCCGGCAGGAGGCACTAGGTATACCTGGTAGCAGTATTCCTTGTCCATTCTCTCTCCCACTGGGCTCGCATTTGCGTATTAAGACGCGGTTGCCAACAACAATGCTTCCCAACTACCTGCTAGTTTCAGGTGCTTTCAAGTTTCTACGCGATATTCGCCACATGGAAAGAGTCCTAAAGTAGTATCGGTTCTCGGATTCATTGTTACTCCGAGGACGATCTTACGGTCGTCCTCGGGATCCCAGGGGGTCTCGGGATGGACTCTTCTTGCTCTTCCTTTCATAGCCTACCTCGACGGTTCTCCTTGTCGCAGAAGTTTCTTCAACCTGCCTGCCTGCCTGTGCGCATTTAGCAACGTTTTCCCTTTCGCTTCCTACGCATCTCTTGGCGGACGCGGAAGGCGCGGGACAGGGAGAAGCGAAAAAGAGGGCTGGTTTGTTCGCACGCGACGGGGTAGGGGCGGGTGAAAGAGGACGAGGCGGAGGAGGCATCGACTGACCGCGCGCGTTTGCGTGTCCTGCACTTTATAGTGCAATACGTTACGGGCGGCGTGGGCCGACGTATCTGCCCAGCTGTCTTGGGCGAACCCACGTCCTCTTCCTCGGGTACGGCACAGCTTAGCTCTCGACTCGGTCCAACTCTCCGCGGTAGCACAACTCTGGTTCCAGTTGACCAGTTTCTCTCCGAGCGGTCCCTCCGTCGTCGGCCAGCCGAGCGTTGGCCAGCCAGCCAGTCAGCCAACCAGCCGTGCTCGCGATGGCATTGATGTGGTTCACCGAACGGCGAAAGTAATGCACCGTGTGTACACACACGTATGCACACGTGCACATGCGCGCGTGCATGCACGTATGTGCACACCACGGTAAACATACGCGCGTGCATGCACACGGTCATAGTGGTCGGTGCACACCGCCGATACACAACACAGCACGCGTCACCGGCTCGTTTCTAGGTTACTACGAATGCGTAAAGACGACGGTGGAGACGCGGTTGTACGTCGCGCCTTTCGCCGCCGATTACCGCCTTCGCCGTGGCCGCGCCGCTCCCCGTCGTTTCCTCACACACTCGGGGGTATTTCTCTCTCTCTCTCTCTCTCTCTCTCTCTCTCTCTCTCTCTCTCTCTCTCTCTCTCTCTCTCTCTC